CTCCAAAAAGCTTTTTATTACTATTAATCCTGTTATAAGCTCTAGGGTAATATAAGAGAGATAAATATACAATATTGGATAGTAAAAAAAATCAAAAAAGGGGTGATTATTGCATGAGTTTGCTTTAAATTCATTTTATAGAATAAAACGATATTCTACCTTTTGCTCTGCAATTATATTTAATGAAAAATATTTTTGCAACTACTGGTAATCATTATAATAATTATTTTATGTCTCTACTAAGTAAATTTAGAATCTGATTTTGACTTCGAAAGATGGGCTCTGAAACATGGGAAAACACTATATTGTAGATGAGAAATCATAGTGTCATGAAGCAGAATATGCCATTAAAAAAGGAATAAATGTAACATTATCAGCACAGAATCTCATGGATTGGATTGTAGGTTTGGTGAAGTAGGAGGAGGAGCATGAGATGATTCATGGGAATTTCATGAAACTACAAGTGCATATATGTATGCGAGAAATTAAGGGATTTTAACTGAGTCTGAATATCCATATACTGGCAAATCCCATAGCTGGTGTAAATACTCATGATTTGCATCATGGAGTATTATATCGTGCATTAAGCATGACGGTGTAAATTTGTGTTTTTACTATTCATTACGAGAACATTCTTTATAAGTAATAGTTGATGCTAGTAGATGGTAATCTTATAGTTCTGGAGTATTATCTGTTTGTAGTTTTATATATAAAAAAGCAAATTACTTTTCATTAGTTATTGGTTAAGATGGATTTGATAATTGGAGAGTTCAAGCATCATTTGGAATATCTTGGGGAGAATTTGGAACTATTAGATTAGCATCAGGAAATACTAGTGGTCTACAATTGTTTTTTTGTAAGATTGTGGCATAAAATAAATTTTCCCATATTTACATGCATAATCAAAATTGCAAATTATATGTTTTTGAAAAGGAATTTTTATTTTTTTATAAAATACCATAATCATTAAATCAATTCTAAAACTATATTTAAAAAAAAAAAGAAGTTTTGTTTTATATATAATTCAATATTATTTAAATTTCAATTTTAAAACTAAAAATAATTTAATTTTTATAATTATTAAGGTGATCATTATAATAATAGCACTCAAAAGATAATTAATTAAAATTTTATAGATTATTAAAAAGATCAATTTAAGGTATTCTACATACTGTTTTAGTTAAGCTTACCCAAAATTTTCTTTTTTTACTTAAGTCTATTTTAATTCTAAAGTAATTATTTTTTGTTTTAAATTACTTATTTTTATCAATTATTTTTACTGCAATCTCTTTCTCACCATAAAAAATTATCATGAGCCGACATAATATATGAATTCTAAATTATTTACTTAACATTCAGTACGACCCTTTAGATTTATATTAATTATTATGATATCAATATTACATCAAAAATTTAGCCCTGTCTCACCATTCACTGATCCACATTAAGTTACAAATTGATCTATGAAATAAATTAAAATAGATATTCATATATATATTTATAATTTAAAGAATCTTTATTTTAATCTAAGATTGGTAATTTTTACATAAATCTTTTTTTACTATTCTTAAAGTCTAGCTTTAGTAGACCTGCATGTTGGGTTATAATTACTGCATTGGGATTCATAATTATTCTTATCTGAGTACTAAGAATAATTAGCTGCATTTGAAGCTGAAGAATTCCAGCATCAGACTCATAATTTGGTCTATTTGTTGTTATTTTTAAGAGCATTACACTATTTTTATTAGATTGAGATATTGAATTTTAAAAAGTAAATTCACTTTCAGTACTTAAGTATCATCTATTTAAAGAGCACAGAGAACTAGTCGAAAATTGCATAGAGTTGGTTGCTTAAACTATGATTAAGAAATTTTACTAAATTATAATGAATTCATATTATATGTAATTTTTTAGACAAGGTTTACTTACTATTTTTCTACTGCACTAATTATGTTATAGAATCAAATTATTAATCTGTAAATCCAGATCTTATGATCACTATTGGATTTTATTTAACATATGTAATAATACAACAACCTCCCTATTTCAAACACATTTGCTTTATATTCAATGCTTTCATTCCATATTCTGACTATGACCTATCATATACATTTAGGTTTTATAGTTTCGTCTTTTAGATTGGGATTTATAAATGGTGGATTATGTATTAACGAAGATTACTATTAAATAAATTCTCTTTTTTTATATATTTTTATTTTATTTAAAACAAATTCATTATATTCTTTATATTCGAACAGATTTTGCTATTAATTATAAGATGAGTATATATCATCAATATACAATCTTTATTAAATTTATATTAAACTAAATATTTAAGAAAAAAAAATACATATTTTTCAATCACAATTTTGAACACAAAAAGCTATAATTATACTTCATTCAGCTATGAAAGGGGAATTAAATTCATATTTTAAATAGATTATATTCTCTTTATATTTATTGCTAATTCATTAATGCTTAAATTCAGTTAAAATTAATTTTATTGAAAATTTCATAAAGTTTATTTTAGGAAGAAAATAAATAATATAATTTAATTATCATTATAATTACATATATCTCACTTATTGTGTTTTTATGCCTGTATATATTATATTCAAATAAATAGAGATTAAAAAGTAGGTTGTGTTTCCTTAATTTTTTATTATTTCCAATTTTAAATAAATTATTTTAATTTAATATAAATTTGAAATCCATATTTTATTAATGGTGCCATTATTCCAAATAATAGCAGTCCAATTTATCCAAATCCAATCATTACTTGAGTTTCCAAGCTCAAGAAATGTGCAAAAGTTTCTTCATAAACTATATTAAGTAGAGTAAATAAAATAACAGGTATTTCAAACATTAGTATTAAAATTAAATCAATTTTTTTACTGACCATCCTGCCAAGAATAATAATTATTAAATAAAACGAATTGATCAATGAAATTAAAAATGACTGTGTTAAAGAGCTTTCTTGAGATCCAATTAATACTATAAGAAATAATAACTTTTTAGCAACAATCACCCCTTCATGCTTAAGGCTCTTCCTTTTCATAATATCAATTTACGAATCTTTTTATGAGAAAATTTAAGAGATTAATATTAAAATACAAGTTATAAAAGAATACGCAAGTATATTTTAGATATAATTTCTCAGATTATTTTCTTTTTTTGAGTAGAGATATATTAAAGTCTTAAAAAGAAGATCCCAACTATTTGCTTATATAACATATACTAGGCCTTTAAATGATAATATTTAATTAATAGTCATCCCTAATTTATTCAATTTATGTATGAATTAGATGACCTTTGATGATAAAAAAAATTTACTATTTTTGTAAATGAAAATCCTGAATTTATTATAGTATTTTTTAAAAAAGAGAAATAAATAGATTTTTGATGTAACGAGGAAAACTAATGTTAACCCTATTTGTACTATCAAACCCGATAAATTAGTGATTAAATCTGAATTTACATCATATAAAAGAAATTTTCCAAATGATTTTATTTATTCTGATCCAATAGTTGTATCAAGTAGATCTAGTATTTTTAGTTTTTCTAAAATAGGAATTACGGTTACTACTTAGGAAGATTCAAAATAAATCATGACATTTTCTGGAAAATTTGAATTAATATATTTTAGATTAGATTAATACTACATAGTATCCAAAACTTCAAAGCAATCTCCAGGATTACCAGATAATAAAATAATAAAACTAGATAGGCCGAGGCCAATAAGTATATATATATTTAAAGTACATATCTTATTAGAAATTATTCTTTGAGATTCACTTAAAACTATGGTATTCTTCAAATGCAATTTAAAAAATTAATTTTCAACCTAAAACCCATATTCATCAATTAATAATGCATCAAATTATACTTAAAAGTAAATTTCAGATGTTTCTTACTTTAACAATTAAATTTAAAATAAGTAATTGATATCTTTTAAAGTTGTATCATTAGGCTCTACTAATACATACTCATAAATAATATAATCTTAAGGATTCATATCAATTAAGGAAAATTTCAAATTATCTGTGAAATTTTATTCAGAATTTTGTAATTTGACTTTGCTTGTAATTTAAAATTAAATGAATTATGAGTCATTAGTTTAATTTAAATATATTAAATTAAGTTTAGGAGGTTTCATTTAAAGACATTAACTAGTCTTATAATTTATTTGTGTGCATTACCAATTAATTTCAATTTCACATTTATCAGAACATCCATCTTGAGATACTTAATTATTATCATCGCATTCTTCTAATTCTGATTTAGAACCATTGCCACAAACATCTATACAAATATTATTCTGAATTTCATAATCAAGTTCACATTTTAAACATTATCCATCTATACAATCTAAGCACTATTATGAACAAGAAAATTAACATTAATAGCATCCATCAAAAGGTATTTCATTAGCATCATCACATTATTCATTTGATGTAATTATTGAATCTCCACAAATTGAATGACATTAATTATAAATTAATTAATATCCTATTTCACATAAATTAGTCTAGTTATTATCTAAACATTTATCTTTATTGCAANTAATTTTATTGAAAATTTCATAAAGTTTATTTTAGGAAGAAAATAAATAATATAATTTAATTATCATTATAATTACATATATCTCACTTATTGTGTTTTTATGCCTGTATATATTAGATTCAAATAAATAGAGATTAAAAAGTAGGTTGTGTTTCCTTAATTTTTTATTATTTCCAATTTTAAATAAATTATTTTAATTTAATATAAATTTGAAATCCATATTTTATTAATGGTGCCATTATTCCAAATAATAGCAGTCCAATTTATCCAAATCCAATCATTACTTGAGTTTCCAAGCTCAAGAAATGTGCAAAAGTTTCTTCATAAACTATATTAAGTAGAGTAAACAAAATAACAGGTATTTCAAACATTAGTATTAAAATTAAATCAATTTTTTTACTGACCATCCTGTCAAGAATAATAATTATTAAATAAAACGAATTGATCAATGAAATTAAAAATGACTGTGTTAAAGAGCTTTCTTGTGATCCAATTAATACTATAAGAAATAATAACTTTTTAGCAACAATCACCCCTTCATGCTTAAGGCTCTTCCTTTTCATAATATCAATTTACGAATCTTTTTATGAGAAAATTTAAGAGATTAATATTAAAATACAAGTTATAAAAGAATACGCAAGTATATTTTAGATATAATTTCTCAGATTATTTTCTTTTTTTGAATAGAGATATATCAAAGTCTTAAAAAGAAGATTCCAACTATTTGCTTATATAACATATACTAGGCCTTTAAATGATAATATTTAATTAATAGTCATCCCTAATTTATTCAATTTATGTATGAATTAGATGACCTTTGATGATAAAAAAAATTTACTATTATTGCAAATGAAAATCCTGAATTTATTATAGTATTTTTTAAAAAAGAGAAATAAATAGATTTTTGATGTAACGAGGAAAACTAATGTTAACCCTATTTGTACTATCAAACCCGATAAATTAGTGATTAAATCTGAATTTACATCATATAAAAGAAATTTTCCAAATGATTTTATTTATTCTGATCCAATAGTAGTATCAAGTAGATCTAGTATTTTTAGTTTTTCTAAAATAGGAATTATGGTTACTACTTAGGAAGATTCAAAATAAATCATGACATTTTCTGGAAAATTTGAATTAATATATTTAAGATTAGATTAATACTACATAGTATCCAAAACTTCAAAGCAATCTCCAGGATTACCAGATAATAAAATAATAAAACTAGATAGACCAAGACCAATAAGTATATATATATTTAAAGTACATATCTTATTAGAAATTATTCTTTGAGATTCACTTAAAACTATGGTATTCCT